TTTTTTAGTAGAGACGGAGGGTCTCGCTCTTGTTCAGGCTGGTCTCGAACTCCTGAGCTCAAACAATCACGCCCGCCTCGGCCTCCCAGAGTGCTAGGATTACAGGCGTGAGCCACCGCGTCCGGCTGTGATGTTTCATTTTTAATGTGTAATAGTATTCTGAAAGATTACCATTGTTTTCATCTTATAGTACATGCATATATATGCGCACAGATACATATATATGTGTATATACTAATTAAAAAAATAATAGCAACGAACTCCTCCCCAACCCGGAGCGCTGGCCCGACCACCGAGTCCTAGTTTCTCCGATTTGACGCCGTTCTTCGCCCTTGCGCGGCTGTGCGCGTGCGCAGATCGCTCTTCCCTCGGCGAGCCAGACCTCGGCAGCTCCCAGCACCTTCTGCGGCCGCCGGCGGGCCCTGCTCTGCCCTTCCGGTCCCGGCCCCGCCCCTCTCCCCGCCCCTGGAAGATTCGGCCCCGCCCCTGGACTGGCTCCGCCCCCGCCGCCCGCCGCCCGGGTTGTCCAAGATGGTGGGCGCTCCGCCGGCGCCGTTCGCCCTCCGGCGGCTGCTGATGCTCGTGGTGCTGCTGGCCGCCAGGTGGTTCACGACGGGCGCTCCCGAGCCGCCACCGCCGTCCCGAGCCCCGCAGGTAAGGCAGGGCGGGCACGGCTGGCCACTCTTGGGCTCGGAGGCTCGGGGAGGCCCGGGCCGTCCGCAACGACGCCTCCCACGTCCTGCCGGTGGGCAGGGGCGAGATCCGGGTCCCCCAGAGGAGGAGTGGGGAGCAGCACCCGAGGAAATGGGGGCGGCATGGGAGGGGGCGAGAAAGCGAACGGAAGGGATGGAAAGGGGCCAGTTACTGCGTGGTTGAACATCGGGTCACAAATCTTAAGAGATTCTTGGAGCGGCCCGAGCTGTTGCTCGTCGTGACGTGGCTTTGCCGTCCGAAGTGCGCGATCGCCGGTGATCTCAGGCTTTTATAATGGCGCGGTCCGGGAGTAGAGCCCGGCACTTGAGCAAGGCGGTGTCTGTGTGCTTGGGAGATGTGGAAGTTGCCCAGTTAGAGAGCGCGTTTCCAGGCCACCTGTGCCTGCTCGGCCTGGCGGTCGGCAGGGCGCGGCTGCGGGGCTCCGTGGGGCTGGAGAAGTGGGGAGAGGCAGAAGACCTGGCTCTTACCGACTTCGTCTTGTCGGGTGTCAGAGAAGTGGTTCTGCGAGCGAAGCGCGACCGGCAGCATCTGCGTCCCCTGGGAACTTGGTTCGGCTACTCGGGGGCGGGGCCGGCAGTCTGTCAACAAGCCCGCCAGGTGATTCTGATGCCGGCTGAAGTTCCGGAACCATTGCATCATCGTATTAAAAGGTGGCTGATTCTCACCATTTTTGCCCTGGAGTCATGCCGACCTAAACCAGTATTTGCCTTTCTACAGTTGAATGTATAGTAGGGAAGTTTGAATATTTCAAAATCTGAGTTTTCTAAGAATGACGACATAACCTTGGTATGCCTTACTAGTCAAGACTCGAATACGAATATTTTAAATACAAAGGTGACCGGCACGGTAAATGTCACTTTTTTTTAACTTTTAGTGTTTTAGAGTAATGACCTTACTCCACTTTGGTACAAAAATGAAAAGCATGTCTCAGTTTCAGTTCCGCTGAGGCATTCCAGCAAGCCACAACATTGGGTGCCCTAAGAACCACTTATATCTGAAATTATATGTGAACTACAGTTGCATCTGCTTAAATGATATGAATTCGATGGACCAGCACCAAGAGACCAAATAAAAATGAAATAATTCTAAATTTCCAGAAATGTGGACGTTATTTTCCCCTTTTTAAAATTTCAACACATTGGCTGCCATATGAATTGTATTTAACTCAGGTTAGTTTTGAGCCCGGGGCCTCGTGAAGCAAAACCATGCAGTTGGTTCGTGAAAATCTGTGGATGTTCTTATTGTTACAATTAATATTGACAATTTAATTCTAAAAACATGGATTGTGTTGCTTATCACTCACGCACAGAAAACAATAAAAAATAACAAATTAGAAAGGATTTTTTTTTTAAATCACCGTGGCCCCAGGGAAAATTTTTTTTTTCTAGTGTGGCAGTCAATTTGTTAAAGATTCATCGTCAACACTTAGGTGTCCAAACAGACTTTTGTGTCTATATAATCTGAGAAAAATACATTGTGACTGCAGGCTTAAAATTACACTGCAATGTCAGCTGGCTCTTAGTGATTTCATCATTTTAGTTCTCCCTTCTTAGGCCTTCATTCCACTTTCGGAAAGTTGATATCTAAACTCAGAATTTCACAGATTAAATGAATGCTGAGCAACTAGAAGGAGAATCTTACTACTTGGAACGTGTAGGTGGGAAGCTGAAGCCGTTTGTTCTCAGTTTTTTTCAATGTTTTGTGAAAAATTTCCAAGTGTATAGAAAATTTGAAAGAATTCTACAGTAGTCCCTCATACTAGATGTGCTGTCCCGGAGAACTTTGTGCAGTGGTGGTTATGTCTGCTCTCTCCATTAGAGTAGTCACTAGACTCCTGTGGCCACTGAGCACTTGAAATGTGGCCAGTGCCAATGAGGAACTGAGATTTACAATTTTTATTTTATTTTAATTAATTTAAATTTAAATAGTCACATGATTAGTGGCTACCGTATTGAACAATGCAAACATAGACTACCATTACCATTTTACTATACTTGCTGTATCACATGTCTGTCCATCCTTGTATCTAGCCTGATGTAAATTTGAGAAAACTGATTGAAGTCAGAAAAGTTCTCCTGTCTTCCATCCATGACTCAGATTTATTGGGTCGTGAGCACTTTTTTGTCTTTATGTATGCAGTTGTCAGAAGTTGAGTTCACACAAGATTGAAAAAAATAATAAAAGTTTTTATAGTATATTCTTCTAATATTAAAATAACTTAATTACCAAAGAGAGGCATTCAGATGACATTTACTTTCTTGTATGCATAATTGTATATTTCATATATTTCCCCCAGACTTACTTATTTTAAACCAGGTGTCTATTACCTTTATCCTTAGGAAGCCTGTTGTGTCCCAGATGGGTATCCTATGCGGAGTGAGAGGGAACTGGAGGGAAGAATTGAAAATTTGTCAGGAGAAGCTTTTCAGTGTCTCTATGCACTTTCTTAGTATATGCAACCCAGGCTCACAAGCCTGAACATCCAGTTCAATCAGAGGTTCTCAGAAAGAGCAAGAAATGTGACCTGGCCCCAAACTCCAGGCCAGGAAGCTGTAAGCAATGTGGTTCCTTTCTGCAGTAAAATCATTCAGAAAGACCAAAAAAGAATCTCATTGAACTTGGTTCTCTGGAAAATACAGTATGGTCGTGTCTGTTGTCTTTTTTTAAATCCTGTATTTTACTAGGCAAGTGATACATGTAAATGCGGTAAATTACTAACCCTATAGTGTATGTTCACTGCTGAAAGGCAGAAGTTATAGAAAGGTTTCTTAGAACAACATCATTGGGCCGGGCGCCATGGCTCATGCCTGTGGTCCTGGCACCTCTGGGACGCTGAGATGGGAGGATCGCTTGAGCTCAGGAGTTCGAGACCAGCCTGAACAAGAGTGAGACACCATCTCTACTAAAAACAGAAAAATTAACCAGGCGTGGTGGTGTGCACCTGTATTCCCAGCTACTCGGGAGGCTGAGGCAGGAAAATCACCTGAGCCTAGGAGTTTGAGGTTGCCTGTGAGTAAGGCTGATGCCATGACACTCTAGCCCTGGAGGCTTACCTGTGGGCTTTTCAAAGAACAATAGCTTACAGTTAATGAGTCTTGTAGTTTGAGAAGAGGAGTGGTTAACTGGCATTTGGGCATAAAATAATATAGCTGTAAATTTGATGGCTTCTTGAATGTTGGCTTGTTTTATAGGTACTATTGGTTCTAACAAAAGCTTAATCTAGATCAAGGTGGGCTGGGAGAAATCAGGCTGGTTCTGAGGAATTACTAATAGTTGGAAAGCTTCCTAGGGAGTTGGGAAGTGCACCAAATTCAGCCTACATGTATGGTGTGGGCCTTATATCGTATAAATCTTGTTCTACAAGTTATTCCTAGAACCAGCTCAACCTCATGAAATCACCTCAGTCTTACTCTCTCATTTGTTGGAAATTATATATAAAGTATTCAGGATGTTCAGAGTGCCAAGAAATATACTTGTATATTATTTTTGATGTTTATGAATAACTTTCCTATTTTCAAAGTTAATACAACGCCAAGGAAAATGTATTTGAGAAGAGTATGGCTTTTATTCTAGGTTAACAGTGTCTATCTGTGAATAAATTTAGGAAAGAATTTGATTTACAAATGACAGATTTTAGTTCCTGTGGTCAGTGGCGAATATTTCTTTAATGTTTTCTTTATAGAAAGCATGTCATCAATAAACTAAAATATTTGGGTAGACTACAGTAAAACTGCAGCATTGCAGATACTTGTCTAAGAGACACACGGAAGAAAGAGTCAGAGCAACTTTGTTTATAAAAGCAAAAAAGTTGGAAACAACTCAGATGTCCATGGGCAGTGGAATGAATAGATTGGTAGTCAGATGATGGAATTTTACACAGCACTGTAAATAAGTGACTATAGCCACATGCATCAATTTCAACTAAAAGAAAGGAGTTCCAGAAGAATGTATACAATATTATTCCACTGAGCTGGACTCATGTGGTTCATCCCTGTAATCCCGGCCCTTTGGGAGGCCAAGGCAGGGGATGGTTTAGCCTAGGAGTTTGATAATCAGCCCGGGCAACATAGTCAGACCCCATCTCTAAAAAATTTTTTTAAATTAGCCAAACATGGTAGCACGTGCCTTAATCTCAGCTACTCAAGAGGCCAAGGCAGGAGGATGGCTTGAGCCCAAAAGTACAAGGCTGCAGTGAGCTGTGATTATGCCACTGCACTCCAGCCTAGGCAACAGAGACCCTGTCTCTAAAAACAAACAAAAAAATTATTCCACTTGTGTAAAGCTCAGAAGCAGATAAAACTAAACGATATGTTATTTAGAAAGAGATACACAGGTAGTAAAACTACAAAGAAAAGCAAGAAATGATTACGAGAGAAGTTGGTATGGGGATTCCTCTGAGGGGAGGGAGGGGAACCCTGCAAGGGCTTTAGAGCAGGGCTGATATTCTAGGTTTTAACCTAGGTAGTAGGTACATGAGGGTAAATCTTTTAAACTCTACATTTGCCTATATATGCTCATGTGATATATTTCACAATTAAATGAAAAGTATATAGGTTATAAAAAATTGGAGTTGTGAATAAGGGTGCAAAAACTATAAAATGAAAATGATCGTCTTTTAAAATGTTCTAATACTGTTATAAGTGATTAGACAGTAAATATAATTGAGGGAAAAAGAAAAAGCTGAGTTATTCTCAGTCTGTAAAATGCATAACCACTCAATTTATATAATATTTGTTTTGCAGGATGGCATCAGAATTAATGTAACTACCATGACAGATAATGGGGAGGTATCTAAAGAACAGGTTTGTCTCTTTTTATGATTTTAATATATCTTTAAGTGTTATGCAGCCTATTTTATTTTTACTTACACATGTAATTTAGTTGGATAATATATTTTTGACATTAAAGTTGGTCATTATTTATAGACATTGGAATTAATGTATATGCTGCTTTATTTTAAGGTCGTTCTTAACATAACCTATGAGAGTGGACAGATATATGTAAATGACTTTCCTGTAAATAGTGGTGTAACCCGAATAAGCTGTCATACTTTGATAGGTGAGTACTACTAAATTATTTCCATAATTGTTCTGTTTTTAATAATATTAAATTAGTAAAACAATTCTTGGGTGTTATATATTTCCATATTAAAGTAAAAGTATACATCATTTTCAGAGTATATGATAACACTAACATGTTTAAAACTTTTTTCATATTTTAAATTGACTTTTCCTGTTATATGCACTTTTTTCTTTCATAAGATTGGCTGATGGAACTGCATTTCTGGTAGGTTGATAGCAACATAAGAATGGGCATAGAGGTAGAAATGCAGGTAGCAAGAGCCGAAATCTTGGAGGCATGCTTACCATAATTGTAAAAAATAAAGAGAAAATGAATTGTCTTGTCTCATTCTCTAGTTTTTGGTTTCATCTACCCTTATGTCAGTAAAACGTTTTTCTTTTTAAACTTTTAAATTTTTGAGTTGTTTAAAGGTAAGCAAATATGTTACTTTTAGAATATATCATCATTTGAATGGAAATGAGGAGTATAGATAGGATTTTTATTACCTGTTTTTTTTTTGTTTTTTTTTTGAGACAAAGTCTCTCTCTGTTGCCCTGGCTAGAGTGAGTGCCGTGGCGTCAGCCTAGCTCACAGCAACCTCAGACTCCTGGGCTAAAGCGATCCTTCTGCCTCAGCCTCCCAAGTAGCTGGGACTACAGGCATGTGCCACCATGCCCGGCTAATTTTTTCTATATATATATTTTTAGTTGTCCA